GGGGACGATTTCTTGACAATGTTTGAAACATCTTTGGGGTATTTTTCACTGTTCGGCCAAAATCCGCCTGTAGGGGGACAGGCCCGACCTAATCCTAAGCGGCCGTGGGAGAGCCGAGCGATGAGCCGAAAACCGGGGGGCAACGACTCGATGGGGATGGGCTCTGGGGGAGAATTCGACGAAGAACAGACGCCAGAAACCGGGGAGGCGCAAGGGCGGATCTGATGTGAGACAGCCTCTGGCATGGCCCTCTGCAGTCTGCGAGAGAGGCGGGCGAGCGAGCTGACGGGGCGGGTGGCCTGGTCCGAGAGGCGGTGCCGAGGCGCTTGGGCGTTGTTGACTCGAAGGAAGCGCCATGAGGTTTAACTTTTGGCGCTCCGCGCGGATTTCTTGGGTCCTCGCTGGGTCCCATGGCGGCGCCTGCGGCGCCGCCAGAGGCGCGCTCCGGGCGCGAGGAAGGGGGTCCAGCGCAGATCCAAGAGATCCGCGCGAAGCGCCAAGACATTGTGATTATGCGTTTTTTCCTGATTCCAGGAGTGCATCGACCCCGAATCGCCCATTCGTCGCCGACAGGGGCCAGATAGCCCATTCTGGCCAAATTCATGCGGATTCGTGATCGGAGACCTACCGACGATCTATCGGCACGTAACGCCGATTCCAAGACAATGTGCCCCACCCGAGCCATTCCCCCCCCAAACGTTCCCCCATAAGCCCTCACAGATTGATCCACCTCGAGAAATGCCGCAAAGAGAGTCTAGGGCCCCAGTCTTGATGTGCTGCTATGGCGTCGGTTGTGCTCCGCGACATCGGATCTCAAGGTTTGCGTCTTTCTTGGGGATCAGCGGGCTGCTGGGTCGCTCAGCTAGCCAGCCGAGCCGGGCACTCGAGAGGCCATCAGTGACCGCCTGGGGCCGTCGTGGAGGCCTAACATTGGAGGTGGGTGTTCGTGCTGTTTTGGTCGTTTGGGGCACGCCGAAGTCCGGCGGAAATCTCTGCAATGCCAAGCAGCATGCTGGGATTTGGCACGCCAAGCACCCCTTTGATGAATCAGCAGGGAGCGGCGGATCAAGTTGGCATCGGCCCACCCCGCCACCAGGCTTGGATCGTGGACAAGTTGTTGCTCAGATGCCTGTTGGAGTCTTTTGGGGGTACAGTGGAAACCCATGCCAAGAAACACCCTGCTTGCCTCCAGGGTGCCCCAGGTTTCTTGGGTTTCGATGGCTTTGCTATGGACAGCGTGACGCTCCCACACCAAAAATCAATGGACGTCCTGGGGTCTCAGGGTTGGGTTTCTTGTGGAAGGTCTCTTGTGGTCGAGCTCCCACTGTACACGTCGGGGCCTGTGGGGAGCCTCTTCTCCCTGAGATCTCCTGCGGGCCTCTGGTGGCTTCTCGGGTAGTCTTGGGCATCTGAATTTGGTCTCGGGGGTCATTTTGACCGGTAGAGCCCCAAAAGCCCCAGCCACTTCGTTTCAAGGCTTATACGTGAAGACGCTGCGCGCGGACGCGTGTGGACTGGCGGCCGCCCTTCGCTTCTCTCCGTCTCGCGCTGCGCGCGCAGTCCTGCTGCGGCGGCATGCAGCTCTTGAGGCTGGGGTCGTTCATCGTCGTTGCTCCGGCAGAAGGCACCTCCCGTTGGAGGCCCCTTCGCTCGTGAAAGCTCGCGCCGCCGTGTGCTCTCCCTGGGCCTCGCCCGCCGTCCTGCCCCGCCATCGGGGCTCCGCGGCGTGCTCGCGCTGGGAGCGCAATGACGGCACGCTCGCTCCGCGCTGCCGCGCCAGCGGTGCCTGCGAACCTCAGGGGGTGGCACGCCCGAGCGTCACTCGGCGCCGGACGACGCTCGGGCGTGCTTCCGCCCAGGGGTGGGTCCCCGCCGATGGGTTCGCGGTGGCGGTGGTCCTCGTTTCTCCTCTGAGCTGCTCGAGGTTGACCGAGCCACGCGGCCACGGCAGGGTCCGAGCAGCCGTCCGAGCGGTGCAGGCGCATCAGAGACACCTCGGCTGCGTCAGCCGAGCTGGCAGGGCAGGCAGCGGCGCGCCGCGGCCTCGTCGCTCGCGGCGCGGCGCGGCGCGGTGCCTCCAGCGGCCGGCGCCGCGGTGGCACCCTGCGCGTCGTGTGCCTCGTCCACCTGGCGCTCCGGGCCGTGGCGGCCGGGCGGCGCACGCCGCTCGAGTCGAGCGCGGCCAGCTCGCGCCAGTGCGCCCGCGAGGGGCCACGGCGCCCGCCCGCCCTGCCCATCCCTCCCGTCGACTCGTCTCCCCCTATCCCGTTCTCGCTCCTCTCCTCTCCCTCCCTGTCCTGCCGCGCCGACCCCTCCGCTGCGCCCCTCCTCCCCCCCTTCGTCGCTCCCACGCCCCCCCCACCCCTCCCTCCCTCTCCCTGCTGCACGCCGCAGCTCTCGGGGCTGCCCTGGACCCCCCGTGGAGGCTCCGACGAAGAGGACCCCGAGCTGTACGAGCAGCTGTCCAAGCAGCGCCGGCTGGTGCGGCGGTCAGACGCAGGCGGGGGGGGCCCACCCACGCCCCCTGCGCTGCCCAGGTGTGTTGCTGGCCTCTGCGCGTCTCCCTGTTCTGGGCTCTTGGGGACGGGAGAGCCCCGCCGCCTCGGCCAGACTTGGCGGAGAAAGTGTGCAGGATGGCTACGCTGACCCACGTGCTGGGCTTCGCCGTGCCTCGCATCCCGTCGCCCACAGAACAAGCGCGCAAACACTTGTGCTCGGAGGTGCGCGCGGAGCTGCTGGTTCGGCGCAGGACCCCCCTGGCGGCGCCTCCAGCGCCGACCCTGGCGCGCTCCTCAGCGCCGAGCCAGGAAATCAGCGCGGACATCCGAAAGCTTATGCTCGTCTTGTCGTTCTGGCCAGGGCTACTTCTGCCCCGTTGAGATGTTCACATCGGTTGGCCCAGCTTGCACGTGTAATGCTTGAGTCTCCCGTTTCTCCCTTCAGGCGAGCGGTTCGCTTCCCTCTTGAAAATATATTCGTATCCGCGGCCTCTCGGGCTGGGCCCCTGGGCCGCGCTACCGCTGATACGGGTTTTGGTTCGCGGGATCCGCGGGATCGCGCCCCGGAATCCAGACCGCAACGGCGCGGATATTGCGGATATGTTCGCCGTTCGTGACATCTCCGCAGTCTGAGGCGTTTTTACGGCCCGCAGTGCTAACATGGGCGTGATTGAAGTTTGGCCCAATGTTGTCATTACGGCGCGAATCGCTAACTTTTCTATTGTTTCGAACCGAGCTCGGCCCTGGTGCGTAACTGCTTTTCGACGAATTCCCGCACGAAACGCTCACTGCTCCTTTGTTACGAGCCGAGTTCGAACCTGGCTCGAGCTTGATGTTCGGGGAAGTCCCGCCCCAGGCGCTCACTTTACTATTGTGCCGAACCGACTTTCGAGCCCGGTTCGAGCCTTTGGGGGGAGGACGCTCCACGTGGCTCGCCGTTCTCGGACCAGCATCCCGTTGAGCCTTCGAACCTTTTGAATTTGGGGTGCAAGCTCGAGGTTGCCCGCCCCCAGCTGGCACAGCTCAATTCCCGTCATAGTGTGCCCGGCTCCGCGCGCCGAACGGGGCACTTCCGACCCACGTTGCGCCAGCGTGTCAACCATTGTGCGATCTTTCCTCACGGCACAGTATAGCATCGCCTAACCGTTTCTGCGCACAGGTCCAGAAACGACACGAGCACACGTTGTTTGTTTGTTCCAGGGGAGGGAGAAGAGAAACGGCCTCCCCGCGCACCAGTCCCTTCTGTGTTTGTTGTTTGTTTGTGTTTCTCTCTCTCTCTCTCTATATATATATAGAGATGTGTGTATCCTTCCTTTTTTTGTTCCTCCATCTTTCTCTCCCTCTCGTTCTCTGTCTCCCTCTCTCTCTCTCTCTCTTTTTCTCTCTCTCTTTTTCTCTCTCTCTTTCTCTATCTCTCTCTCTTTCTCTATCTCTCTCCCCATCCGCGTCTCTCCTACGCAGACAAGCTGATCCCTTGCTTCCCGCGGCCCGCCGCAGCCAGTGACCCCGCGCTGACCTCCCACGTGCGGCACAGATGAAGAGCGAATGGCACCTGCGCGAGGACCATCCAGAGGGTGTCCGCTTGACCCTCCCAGAAATCCCACCCGACGTGTAAAGAGCACAGCTCGTCGCCAACAGGATTACTATCGGCAGCCCGTGGCTTGAATTTCCCGTCGTGGAAAACAGCGGTGTTTGTTTTACCATTGTTGCTGAAAGATCCAGATTCGGCACTCAGACGCCACATTGGAGACGGGTGTTGTTTTTCTGCCTCCTCCTCATCATCATCATCATCTTCCTCCACTTCTTCTTCCTCCTCCTCTTCCTACTCCTCCACAACTACACATCATGGGCGACTCCCCTCTCGCCTCGGACTCTGCCCGGAAGATTTATGGCCCGCCCCGCGCATTGTGTTCACAGTGGGTTGCATAAAAGAGAGTGGCATGCGCTTGTTTAACGATCCGATTGTGCTCAGAGTTTAAAAATGGTGTTCCCGCTGCAGCGTGGGCCTCATTTTCGGGTCGGTGGTTTGCCCCCCATCTTTCAGAATGGCGCTCTCGCCCCAGCGCGGGCCACTGTTATGGATCCGAGTCCTGTTGCATCGTTGTCACCCCCCTCATTTCCCGTCCTCCACAGTTCCCTGGTCCTCCTGCTCCTCCCGCTCAGTCCACTCCAGTTCCTGCTGCTGCTGTTGTTCGTCCTCGTCCTCTTCCTTCCCCGTCCTCCTGGGTTTCGTCCTGCTCATCCTCCTGCTCACCCGCCAGCTCCTCCTCATCCTCCTCCGCCGCCTCCGCCTCCTCCTGTCCACGCAGCTCCCCACTTTCGATTGCCCATAACACATGGGTTCTGTGCTGGAGTTCCAGGTCGGCTGCTACACGCGTCCGCGGATACAGAAACAAACAGCGCACAAGGAAGGAATGGGAGGGATGTCAGATATGGCGCGAGCGCACGAAGCTTATCCTCCTCCTCATCCTCCTCCTCCTCCTCCTCCTCATCATCAGCATCATCAGCATCATCATCATCATCATCTCCCTTCTCCCTTCTCCCCCTCCTCTTCATCCTCCTCTCCCCCTCCCTCGCCCCCACTTCCGCCTCTTCTATTCTCTGTTCGCCCCCTTCCCTTTCTCTTTCCCCCATCCCCGACATTGCCTCTCCCCGCCCACTCCCTCTTCCCTCCACCTCCGACTCCCGCTCGCCTTCTCCATCCTTCTCATTGGCATGCACTGTCATCTGCACTGCCACAACCGCTACCAGCACCATTGCTTCTAATATTGCTACTGATGCCACTGACAGTGCCCGCACCGCTACCCCAGCCCTCTCCAGTATTGAATGGCCAGCCCGCCACCGTGCCTGGACCGTGGGTCTGAGTCATCAGGAATGCGCTTTGGGGTCTCTCAGGAGCGCTCTCGGGAGTCTCTGGGGAGCTGTTCGGAGGTTTCTCGGGGGAGCCTCATCGGAGCCTCTCGGAGCCCCCTTGCAGGCCTCTTGGGGCTTCCTGGGGGCATCTTGGGAGCCTCTTGGGGCCTCTCGGGGGCACCTGGGGCACCTTCTGGCATCTTGGGGGCCTCTCGGGGCCTCCTGGACTCCTGGGGTCTGTTGGAGGGCTCGAAACGTCCGTTCGGATCCCCCGTCTGGGCCCCCTCTTGGAGCCGCCTTGGGGCCCTCTTGGGCCGTCTTGGGGCATTCAGGTGCCGTTTTGTAGGATTTTGGGTCCCTCTTTGAGGCGTCTTGGGTAGTCTTGGGGCGATCTTGGGGGCCTGTCAAGCCGTCTTGAAGCGTCGGGAAGCCGAAAATGCGAAAACGCCAAAACCTTCCAAATTCTGGAGGGAAATCACGGATGTCGTTGCCTTTGGGGGCCGTCTTGGGAGGCCTCTTGGAGGCATTTGGGGGCGTCTTGGAGACTGTCGTGAGGCCATATTGGGCGTCTTGGGGCGATCGTTCGCGGCTCGGGGCCGTCTTGAGGGCACCTTGAGGCTATCTTGGCCCGTCTTGGGGCCCTCTTGGGCCCGACAATTTCGCGCGGGAGGCTTCAACTGGGCCCAGGGGAACCGCGGCGAACCCAAGAAGATTTGGGACTGTGGGACCCAGGCCCCTTCAGAAAAACTCGTCGGGACTGAGGACGGGGGCCCAGGGAACGAGGCAGAGGACCTCGGGACACGCCCACTCCGTGCCCGGCGTCACGGCGGCGGAGAACTTCTGCGCGGGCAGTCCGCAGGGCTCCGTGAAGCGAGAGAAGAGGCGAGGAGGGAGGGGCATGGGGAAGGGAAGGAACGGGCAAGAATCGTGGCCAGGAAGACTCACGGCGGGCAGTGCCGACGTCAGGCCTCGCAGGAGCGCAGGACCTCAGATACCGATCCCTCCTTGTTGGCAACCTCCTCTGGGGATCCTCTCGCCCAGGCTTCTCCTCCAGGGCTGGAGCCAGCAGGGGACACTCGGGATTCGCCAAGGGGGTTCAGCAGCAGGGAGGCCGACGGTTTGCCCCGGAAGCCGACGGCGGATGCAGGAGGGGAGATCGAGGATCGATGGGTTTCTGCACGTACGTGGGCGTCTTTGGGGAAGCCCGAAGGGCTCTGCACGATCCAGGTGGGCCACCTCACCGAGGAAGAACACAACAAAGTTCCTCGAGGAGGTGGCGACCCCCTGCCAGTCGCCCGCCGCTGGACCCCCAGGGTCCAAGCTACTCTACGGAGCCGCCTTCCCAGATCAATGAGTCGAACGGCTTCCCCTCTTCCTCGCTCTTCCAGGGTCTGGCGGAGACTATTCATATTTTTATATTTGTATTACCCGGAACCCCCCCACCCCACCCCCCCACCCTTACATTGAACCGCCCCCCCAGGGACGCCCTGGACGCCCTTTCGGACGTCTCGGCGGCCCCCTGGACGCCCGTGGAAAAAGTCCGCTGGCCCTTCCGGGCCTCCCAGGGCGCCTTGCCGGGCCTTGCGAGCAGACTCAAGGCGATCAGAAGGGTCATGGGAGAGGCGCAAGAGAGACCCAAGACAGCACAAGAGCGTTCCAAGAGGCACCTCGATGGTCTGAAGACGGCCCGAGAGGCCCCCCAGACGCCCCAAGAGGCTGATAAGAGAGCCCTGAAGAAGCAATTATGCTACCGAGGAACCCCACATACTTATTTCAGATCCTGCGTGGTCATATCATGTTGCACCAAGCACAGCCTCCTGGCATTGTCGTTCGCCTCTGTGGCGTCGGGGATCTGCAACGCCTGCCACACTTTGCGAGCCCGCAACGGATAGGGGGACCAGCCCCAGCGCACCCCCTGTGGTGTCGAGAACGTGCAACGCCTGCCACAATTTGCGAGCCCGAAGCGGATATGGGGGACCACCCCCTGCGCACCCCCTTGTGGTGTCGAGAAGGTGCAACGCCCGCCACACTTTGCGAGCCCGCGCCGCATGAGGGCACCACCCCCTGCGCACCCCTTTTGGTGTCGAGAAAATGCAACGCCTGCCACACTTTGCGAGCCCGAAACTGATGGGGGGGCACCCCCTGCGCA